CTTCACAAATGTGATTATCACTATTAAGGTTTTGAGTACTTTCTTCCATTCAAACCAGATAATGTTTTCATTAAATGTCTCTTCAATAACAAGGCCAATCTGACCTTTTTCATCTAGCTCAATACTAATTATCACACTTAATGTGTTGTGCTGAAGAATATGTTCTACCCACTGTCATCTGCTTCTCGACATTTTCGACGGTTCAACTGTCGAATTTCACATTTACAAACCGTCGGGTTAGACGTTTGAAATGTCGAAACGGAACATTTGCAAACTGTCGGGGTATATAGTTTTACTGTCAAATTGAACACTTAAAACGATGGAAAGCCTTGATTTGACCTTTTACTATTGTACGGATTTACGTATTATGTAGTGCCGCTTTCATGCTATTAAATGCCAACACATTGATTCTGTAGAATTCTTATCGTTGCAATCCCAACATTTGAGGTATGAATAATCATTTGAGTTTCATCATGTCGCATGGGGAAAGTTTGTTCATACGGATGACGAATAGAAGTGAAGAGGGGACAAAACCACTTACATTCTGGTTCCGACAAGTAATATCGTAACCGGACTTTTGTTAATGTTGAAGGACAAACTTGATATTCTTGATCCCCGTACTCAAATTGAATTGAAGTTCAAGGTCGTTAACTTGAATATACCTCCGACCGAAATACGCGACGATGAAGATTTATTTTCATCACATCTCAAATTGAATTTGAAAGACAATTAGTGTGATGCTTTTAAAGTCTAAGTGCGCTTGTATCACTCACACTTGGTCTATCATTTATGAAAATTGTGTACATTAAATCATGTGTACCATTTCATCTTGATTGAAACATGGTACGCACAATATTTTAATGCAAACAAAGAATCGAAAGCAAGAAAGTTATAAAATGCACCAAAAATCATTTTTATGTACACAACCTTGCTCAAGTATCGAACATGATGTAACCATTGTTTTGTACTGTGGAGTAGCTCCATGACCCTATTTAAAAAACAATCTACTATTCTTTACTATTCATTACTATAAACATTTTCTGTATGAAACAAAAACAATTTCCTCTGCCAACATCACATAAATAAAACCAACTAATGCAAAATTATATACATAAATAGAAAACAAAATGTTTTTCCATGCAGTTGCCACAGTCATCAAAAGTAGACCGTTGTGAAGGTTTCTCTTTCTTTGACAACGAAATCGATTGGTTCCATCTCCAATTATAGCAAGAATGTGTGCACCAACACTTTGACGATCATTCAAGTCATGAGTATGAGTCTGCTCATATGTCATCATACATTGGTGAAATTAGTATTTCGAGATAAAGCACGTAGAAAACAATGTGAAGAAATGTAATAACGTTCACCTTATGTGCAAAAAACAATCTGATCACAGTACATAATATAGCTCAATTGATTCATGCAATCTATCATAATCTGAATTCAAACAAGCAACTTCCACAAAAATAGATTTGAATTACATGTGATCAAAAAATTATGAAGAATGAATCGTGACGGTGGTGGTATTGTTATACAAATAAAAATGTGAAACACAAAAATATAACCACATATGGAAATCAGTCACATGTAAGACGTTCGGATGGAAAAAATCTAACCAAATACGGACAAATCAATTGAAAAAATCATGAGATCATAGCATTTCATATATGTTTATGTAAAACACTCGTGCAATGTTAGAATGAACCAAAGTTTGACTTGTGGAACTGAGCGGAGGGAAGGACTGAACTGCCATTCTCGACAGTTCATCTGTAGACTGTTTCATCTATCGAGAATTACCGAGGCCAACTGTCGAAACCAACAGTTAGGCGCGATGGCATTTCTATACATTAGTGAACTGTCGACAGATGAACTATCGGGAAATCTACTTTTCACCTCTAAGCAAATAGGTATTATTGAAACTTATTTCACTTCATATTCGAGCATAACAAAATATTAAAATCACAGGTATGCTGTCGACTGTCTAGCAAGAGTTCAACCCAAATACGGGTACCTCCCACAACAAATGGATTCCAAGTAATAGTAATGTTATTTCCACATCACACAAGTACCAAAAATATTGAAACATTCAAAATACTTGAAATTTGGACTTTGAAAGCAAAGGAAGAGGATAAATATTAAATTAGAACCCTAGAAAATTTTTTCCCTCAACATTAGTGCTAGCACATGTAACATGTGCATATGTGCATCACTAATAGAAGATGTATACAAAAGAGAAAATTAAAATTTATAGTATGAAATTGCAGAAAGTAGAGGCAAAACATTTCCAACCATAAAACAGCCAAAAATTAATCAAAACGTCCAAAAAAATTACAAGATATTAAAAGAATTTTTACCTCTTTCTAATCCAAGCTCCAGCTCTTATTTTAAACCCAGCAAAAAGCTCCAAATTTTCCCATCTCATAAACCCTTTGCAGCTGAAAAAATTACAAAAATTGAGGGAAAAAAAATAAGATTTTTCTCTCTTTCTCGCTTTACCGGTGACCCTTTTGCTCTGTATTTAGAGAGTCTTAAACGTTTCTTCAAAATTTATCTATTTTTTTTCCAACTTTTCATCTATGACATTGACAAGATTTTTGTACAATTTCTTCCATTAGGTCAAATCTCATTTAATTAGGACATGTATGGAATTTGAAATTATTTTCAGGGGCAAATATGTCTTAAATTGACATTCTTGCAATGTTTTTAAAAAATTGACATTTTTGTAAATATATTGAGAAAAATTGACATTCTGTGTAATTTCCTCTTAATTTGCCCTACTTCTTTCTATTCGAACTGTCACATAGCCTAGTTACTTATTAATATCCAAGAAAATAAAAAATAATAGAAAAAATTTAGAGAAAGACGTAAATCTCAACTCTAGCCATCGAAAAAATATACATACATAATTTATACTTTACACACATAAATTACATACATTTAAAATTTTAATTTTTGGAATTTCACTATTCCCAAATAAAATGCAAATTCAAGTAACTGATCTGGTAAGGCTTTCATTCTTTCCACTTGAGCGAGGTATTCATTTCATATTTTATATTCAATTATACTGAATTCAATAAATTATAAAATTTATTAGTTAATATATCTAATTTAGAGTAATAAACGTGAACTTGTAATTAATGCATGGATGGACTCAATCTTTTTGGGAAAAAAGAAAAATGCGAAGGATTTTGTTTCGAGCCTTGAGAATGGTGTATTTGTAATAGTAGAATTGACAAATCTTGTCACTTTCTGCTGTTTTTCAAACAAATTAGAAGCTTCTAATGAACTTGTTTAATGGATTTATATAAAATTTCTAAGTTACAGTGAAGAATATGCATATGTTAAGTCAAATTAACGTAAACAAGAAGCATAACAATTATGAGAAATGATTTCTTAAACATCGATGCTAGAAACCATTTGTAGCCTGAGCTAACTTTCCCTATCTAGATATGTTGACAATGATGAGGAAAAATCTTGAACCGGCATCCTAGGTGAAAACAAGAATGGCTTTGGTGGAATTTCTATTGATTCAAAACTTCCCTTCAGCATTTCAATTACCTTTGTCATTGATGGACGGTCTGATGGAGTAGTTTGGATGCACCAAAAACCTACCAAAAACATCTTTCTTGCTGTTTCTTTGTCTTCGCTGCTCATGAATTCATCAAATTTCATTGTTTCACGAACTACTATGAGTTCATAAACTTGGTCGGTAAAATAATTTTCACTCGACTTGGTCGATCCGACTTCAACGATTTTCTTTGCTCCAGCCATTTCAAGAACCATCATCCCATAGCTGTAAATGTCGGATTTATAAGACATTCCTCCAAAATTTCTACAGAAAACTTCTGGGGCAATGTAACCAATAGTGCCCCTTGTACCAACTGTTGACAAAATACTCTGCTTCTTTCCGCATAATTTAGCAAGGCCAAAATCTGAAATTTTTGGACAGAAGTCTTCATCTAAAAGAATGTTCTGGGGTTTAATGTCAAAATGTATAATTCTTGTATTGCAACCTCCATGAAGATACTCTAAACCTTGTGCGACCCCAAGAGCAATCTGGTACAGTGTTTTCCACTCTAAATGGCCTTCTGAATTGGGTGATCCACTCTTGTACATTAGTTTGTCTAATGATTTATTGGGCATAAATTCATAAACTAATGCTCTTCTATTTCTCTCATAACAAAATCCTAAGAGATTGACAATATTGACATGAGAAGTTCTACTGATGCTACCAACTTCATTCATGAAGTCTTCTCCACTTCCTTTTACCTCATTTAAAACCTTGACAGCAACGAATCGACCATTAGGTAGCATTCCTTTGTACACACTACCATATCCTCCTTGACCAAGCTTATTAGAGAAGGATTTGGTTATATTTTTAATTTCCGAGTAGTTATATATTTTCGGAGCAAGCGATCCGTGCTTTAGTAAAAATGTTTCCACTTTTCGATTGTTTTCGTGTATTGACTCCCATGATGAACATTGTCGTTTAAGGTAGCAGAATATGATGATGGACGATGCAATGATACTAGGTATGCCGAGTGACACCCCTGCATGCAAAGAGTGGAGATGAGACTTAGAATTCTGTAATCAAGCAATTGTAGAGGGCTTTGTCCCAAAAAGTAATTATAGATATACAAATTATTTCGAGATAAATATAATATGTTTCTCATCAAGAAAGAAAGAGAACTTGAAATCTGACTTCTGCAAAGGTTTGATTTACCTATTACATACTTCCACTTATCATCAAGCCCTTTCTTTGATCCTGCAACCAAAAACAGTAAGCCCATAAAACTTGAGCAAATCTCCTCATCATTCACATGCTAGTACATCCACGCGCGGGCATGAAAATGAAATCTTTCTTAAGAATGCTTTCATGCTTCAGTTTAACAATAATCTACTGGTAGCTTAAGCATTAGTTAGCCCAATAAGAATCTGAAACTGTGTAAAATAAGAAGCTGTTATCCTTTCGTTGATTTGAGATGGAGAGGCAGGAAACAGAATTGTTCCTTGGTACAACGAAGGATGGGGGTGTTATCCACTGGTGTGACGTCGAAGAATTGAGAGAATATTTTTGGTCCATATGTTAGAATAAGCAACTCAGACGTCTTATACTGTTATACGTGCGTTTTTTATAAAGCTGGGGGCATGAATTAGTGATATTCCATGGATATCTAATGTTAATGCTTTGGATGCAGCCGTTAACACTAAATTTCTTCCCCCAAAAACAGAGAATTGGACAATTGAAGTGTGAACATATTTAAAATTTTGCTCCAATAAAATGAATAACTTTCTCCAAATGTAAAAACGAGAGAAGATGAAACTAATTGAGCCGAAAAAAGCTGGCGCACGTACCATTTCCGGTTCCGGTTTGAGTATTGTTTCCAGTTGAAGTACTGTTGCAAATTGACGCAAAAGTTCCATTAGTACAATAACAAGCAAATGATAGAGAATCCCGATTAGTTCCGCATACACCACCTGACCGAATGCAATTTTCACAAACGATATTATTCGCGGACCACTGCAATGAGAAGCCACTAGCAAGAGCGTCCTGGAGAAGAACGATTGAAGCTGAAGAAGCTGCCAAGAGCCTTGCCGCAGTTTGATTGACTGGAACAGAGATATTAGTTTCACATCGGATACCAGTTTCAAATCCAGGGATAGATGGTGAATCTTCTCCTATTGTGAACAAATTTTCGCTGTTGGTTCCATTCACGGTGCAGTTGAACATATGTGGGGACCGTGGTGCAGGCTGACCACTAGATGTGGAGCAACCGTAGTGTAGAGTAACGTTTGGATAATTGGGGGAAAACAGAAAGATATTTTGTTCCAAGGTTGTGTTGTAAAGAAATCTGGGACAAATGATGTTCCATAAATCCTCTCTTGAAACTCTAACCGTCTTTGTGAAATTATTGATTTCCAGGACACGATATTGTCTTGATGAAATAGTAAGTATTGGGACATCGCCTTGGCAATTACTGAGCTGGAAACCTGGATATCCACAATACTCCGGCCTATTACCACCAAAGAATGGATAACTTATTTCCCGGATTCCGGCACACTGAAATGAAGCACCACAGGATGCATATTCCCCACCATTTTGACACAAGGAACCCGGGATGTAGAGCAATACGAGGGTCGTGATGATAAATAGTGAGAGGATATAAAGGAAGTCTGTGTACATCGCTGGGATGCAAAATTATTGGCTTCACCTTTCTTGTAAGCCTGGTTAGTATCTACAATCTCAGCAACCAACGGATGTGAATGGAAGACTTATTACAGCTTGAAATTTGACAAATAGACGAATTATACAATTACTAAAGTCAAGACATTGAAGTTTGCCTTAGTCCAGAGAAAATCCAAAAGAGAGGTTTCGTCTGAATTTCGGATGGACCCAGTGTACATACATACACATGCATTCATTTAAGTGGAAATTACATATAGGCCTACTTTAAAAGATCTAATTTCTAAAACAAGATGCAATGTTTATTTATACAAAAATCAGATATTTAATTTAAATATTATAAATTAATATTTTAATAATAATAACAATAATATAAATTAATCTATATAAATACACCCTACCATAAATTTCCCCCTTTCAAACCCTAAATTGAAGTTTTTTTCTCCCTGCTCATCTTCATTCTCTCTTCAACACTGTGCGCCACCGTTCTCTCCTCTCCTCCTTTCTCTCTTCACCATCCATCTCTCTACTCTCAGATCGCCGTCGCTGTCGTCGTTGCTACAGCAACCCAAATCTGCAGTGATTACACGGTGCAAGCAGCAAGGTGCGCGGGCGGTGGTGTTTGAAGGCAGATTGGTGTTGATGGTGGTGGCGCCGCATGGAGATAGCTAAGGGATTTGTGTTTATTTCATGGCAGCAAGGTGCGCGGGCGATGGTGTTTGAAGGTGGATTGGTGTTGATGGTGGTGGCACCGCACGAAGATAGCTAACGGATTTGTGTTTATTTCATGGTAGTGCGTGATTAATGGTAAATGATAGTGGTGTTGCATGGTGGTGGTGGTGACATTTTTAGATCGCTTTGCGGATGTTGCAGTCACTGCTGATATGACAGTGAGGTGGTGATTCTACACGCGGTGGTGGCGGCGTAGGGGGTGATGGTGTAGCGGTGATTTAAGGTGTGGTGTATGGGTGGCAGAGGTGGTGGTTGTAGTGGATTGGGGTTGGTCAGGTGTGGCGGCGATGGTAGTGGTGGGGTGGGGTTAGGGTAGGGGTAGGGTAGGGTGGGGTGGTATGTGGTTTGTGACCAATATTTGAACTATTGTGACCAACAAACTGACTAATTTGTGACCAATAAGTAATATGTGACCGATAAAAATATGTGACAAATAAGTAATATTTGACCAATAAATTGTGACATGTAATTGTGACCATAAATATAATTTGTGACACATAAAAATTTTTATTTGTGAGTCTGTGACCAAAAAATAATATGTGATTATCTAAAACGTCAATTTGTGACCAAAGTACATAAATTTATGACTTTAATATATTTAATTAATTAAATGTATAATTAATTAATTAAATCATAAATTAAATTTAATAAATATCTGATTTATGAAATTTGAAACTTTTATTTTTAGTTTTGAAATGATAGATACTTATCTTCTTAGTTATGAATTTTTCCCTTTATTTAATGTATATGTTGGGCATTTTGGTAAATGATGCCCAAATCCCCTAGACAATGATGAAAAACTTCGGCCCGTTTAACTTCATAGGCTAGAAGCCCAGGATTGAAGAATTAAATCCAAACCACAATTAAAGTAGCTGAATTATGTTGGGTATTTAGAGGTAATCAGCCCATTGTGTTAGGTGCTCAATTCACAACTTGGAGGTAATTTGAAAATCATGTGAAATATAGATAAGCATCATCGCTATCTTTTTCAACCATTTTATCTCGTCTTCGTTAAGCTCTATCTTTCAATTTTGATTTAGCTTAATCTTGCAGTTTTGATTGAATCCAATCTTGCAAGATTTTGGGAAAATTGTTTCTTTGTGAAGCCTATAAATTGGAGTCTTTCTTCTTCATTTAAACACACCCAAGAACAAGAAAAACTCTCTCTGCTTTGTGCAAAATCAAAACCTCCTCTGCCTTCTTTGTGGATCTGTCTTTGTGACTAAAAATGACCTTCAAAATGGAGATACCTTTGTGGTGTGGATCAAGTTTCTGAGCCTAATCTAGAAGAGGAAAAATCATTCTTCAATTTTTGTGATTTTGGTTCTTGATTTTCTTTACTTTATTCTTTGCAAATCCTTCACTAATTAATTGATTGGTTCGATTTGTAGGTGGATTTGCTCAACAGTATAGGTGACTTGAGCACTCCTGGTCGTTTGATTGATATCATCTCAAGAAACTCCAACGAGCATGTCTCCAAAACAACGTTTGTTTGTTAAACCAATCTATATCAATTGAGTCTTAAGCTAAACAGCCTTGATTGACCATAAATTAATTACATTAAACAAAATTTTATCATTAGATTTATACCCCTTTCATTCTAGGCAACTGATTTATGAAAATTAAAAACCAATAAATATGAAATTTTGAGATCGGTTCAGATGCATATTGCCCAACAGTTCAATTTCTGGGAAAACAGTAATTGTGCAACTTTTTGGAACAGTAAATGTGGGGGGGGGGGGAATATGAGACTAATATACAGATTTGGAGATGAAACTACGTGCTGCTCAAATCAAAGTAATCCATGAGATTTTCAAGTGGAAAAACAAATGAAGATCTTATTTTCTATCTGGTTATCCTTTCATTCACCTTTAGCTCGTATGATCGAGATAACTTATACCATAAGCAAGAACAACACTATAGACTCGGAACTCGTAGGCCCACTGATGCAGCACCAACGGGACAATTAATTGAGAAATAGAACAGATCTATAGGGAGAGGGAATTAAAGAGAAGAATGGGGAATTAGGGAGGGGGGGGGGAGAAGAAGAATTTAACAGAAGAGGGCAAAAGAAGGGGAGGAATGCGCCATAAGTCGCCAAAATAATTATTCATTCATCATCTAATGAAATTACAATGCAAAATAGATTTAAATAGTAAAGCAACCCTAACGAGATTGGGTCCGAGCCCATACAAGTCCAAATTTTAAATAATAGTCCAAAAGATAAATAAAGCATAAATAAAGTTTAAATAAAATAAGTAAACGTCCGATGTTCTCATCAACTCTCCCGAGGTGGGAGAAAACTCGACCCTGTCGAGTGGATATATCACTATAGGTTGTCATCAATCTCTCAATCATAAGCTGAGTGGTTGGGCAAGCTTCTTCTGACGTCTGTAAAAATGTGTCAGTAGAGGTCTGAACCTGGTGTCCTCACCAACTCCCCTTGGGTGAACGAGAGGCGATCTAGGCCAAGGAAGATCCTGCTGACTCCGATAAAACTCCAATAAATCTGGATCCAATTGATGTAGTGTCTCTTTGGAGATCCATGTACAATAAGAATTTGGTCGACCAAACCAATGAACGAGGAAGTCCTGAACCTCTCCATCATTAGTAAACACAATTTCTTCATCTAAAATAGCATCAATTTTATCCGTGTGTGCTGTGAGAGGTGGTAGTGGGTTAGAAGTGGCCAAATAGTCGGGATCAAGGTCCACAAAAGAAGGTAACAAAGGGTCATCTGAGAGAATGAAATGACTTTTATAAACTACTAGGTCCTCAACATTGAAATTAGAATGGTAACCAAAATGTGGTGGAATGTCAACACATAGGCATTTGGACCAATTTGCTTTAAAATTTTAAAAGGCCCAGCACTACGAGCTTACAATTTGGAGGCGGGTCCATGTAGACGCCGCTCTGGCCTAATACAGACCATAACGTAATCCCCAACGTTAAACTCAATATATCGTTTATGTAAATCAGCTTGTAGTTTATATTTTGCATTACTAGCTTCAAATTGTTTATTGATCTCAATATGCAAATCACGAAGATGTTGTGCAAATGCTTCGGTTGACACTGACACTCTAGCCTGCGGGGACATAGGGATGAGATCTAACGGTTTCCTAGGCTTGTACCCATGAACGGTTTCAAATGGACTCATACCTAATGAACGATTTATGGAGCTATTATACGCAATTTGAGCTACAGGAAGGATCAAATCCTAATTTTAAAGATTTTCCCGGACCAGACAACGCAATAGGTTACCAAGACTTCGATTAACGACTTCAGTTTGACCGTCAGTCTGAGGGTGGTAGGCCGTAGAAAATTTCAATTTGGTACACATCTTTTGCCACAAAGTCCTCCAAAAATGGCTGGTGAAACGAACATCCCTATTGGGCACAATAGTCTTAGGAAGCCCATACAATTTAACAATCTCATTAAAGAACAACATAGCCACCTTAGACGCATCTGAGGTTTTGCTATAGGGGATAAAATGAGCCATTTTCGAAAAACGGTCGACAACCACAAAAATAGAATCATGTTTCTTTGGGGTGCGTGAAAGGCCTAATACAAAATCCATACTAACATCTTGCCAAGGACAATTGGGGACGGGAAGAGGGGTGTATAGGCCTGTGTTTTGCTTCTTCTGTTTACTCAATTGACAAGTGTTACAAGTACTAACAATCTTAGACACATCTTTTTTCAAGATAGGCCAATAGAATTGAAGTTCAACTTCCTCTATGGTCTTATCACGTTCAAAGTGACTGACTAACCCTCCCACATGAACTTCCCACACGATGAAATCTCGAACTGAAGTTCGAGGGATGCATAATTTATTGGCTCGAAAGAGATAACCCTCCCAAGTCGGAAGTCATCTGTGGTGTGTGATTGCCCCTTTTGCAAATTGAGAAAGATATCCTCAAAATCGGGACATGCCTCGTAGTCCTTCTTAAGCCTTTCAAAATCGATGACCTTGACACTCATGATCGACAAAAGGGAGACACGACGACTTAAAGCATCAGCTGCTTGGTTCTCCACGCTCTTCTTGTGTTTTAAAATAAATGAATAGGCCTGTAAATATTCAATCCAACGACCATGCCTAGAGCTTAATCTTTTCTGGGCGTTCAGGTAACGGAGGGCCTCGTGGTCCGAATAAAGGACAAATTCCTGGGGCAACAAATAGTGGCGCCAATAGCGCAAAGCCTGGACCATTGCATACAGTTCGTTATCATAAGTCTAGTATCGTTGTTTGGCTTCATTTAACTTCTCACTGAAGTAGGCAATAAGGTGACGATCTTGACTCAAGACTCCACCTATACCTACCCTGGAGGCATCGCATTCAACTTCAAAGACTTTGAAAAAGTCGGGAAGACGCATGATAGGAGCCTCCGTCATTTGCTTCTTGACCAACTTAAAGGCTTTAGCCGCTTCTTATGTCCAATAAAACTCCCCTTTTTTCATGCACTCTGTAATAGACGCCATAATAGTGCTAAACCCCTTAATAAAGCGACGGTAAAATGTAGCTAAGCCGTGAAAGCTCCTGACGTCATGAATAACTTTAGGCTCAGGCCAATCAATAATCGCCTGAACCTTGGCAGGGTCAGCAGATACCCTTGTCGAAGAGACAATGAACCCCAGAAAAATGACTGTATCGGTGAAGAAAGAGCACTTTTTGACGTTAGCATATAGATTAATTACACGAAGGGTAGAGCAAACTTGTGTGAGGTGGTCAAGGTGTTGCTCCTTAGTCTTACTATAGATGAGGATATCATCAAAGTAAACAACAAGAAACTTTCCCATGAAAGGTCGGAGAGTTTGTGTCATTACCCGCATAAAGGTACTTGGCGAATTACTTAGCCCAAAAGGCATGACCAGTCATTCACAAAGACCATCTTTCGTTTTAAATGTGGTTTTTCACTCATCACCTGGGCGAATTCGAATCTGATGGTATCCACTCTTCAGATCAATCTTCAAAAAGATTGTGACACCAACCATCATATCTAACATATCATCAAGTCTAGGAATGGGAAAACGATACTTCACCTTGATCCTATTGATCGTGCGACTATCCACACACATCCTCCAAGAACTATCCTTTTTGGGTGTCAATAGGGCGGGGACAGCACACGGGCTTAAACTCTCACGAATGAATCCTTTGTGAAGGAGGCCATCCACTTACCTTTGAAGTTCAGCGTGCTCGGTAGGATTCATCCTATAATGAGGCAAATTTGGAAAGGATGCCCCTGGGATGAAATCTATGGCATGTTGAATAACCCGTAAAGGAGGTAGATGATCAGGTAGGTCATCCGGAAAGACATCTCGAAACTCTTGGAGGATCGACTGGACTTCAACAGGACTCTTTATTGTGGAGTGGGATGAAACCTCCATGACCATCAAAGCGACACCATCGAGTCACCAACAAGTGTACGCTCAAATTCCGTGGGACTAATGATGTGCAATCCCTTTCGATCCACACTCTTCTTCGTTTCCAGTGGGCCAACAGGCTTTGGGGGCAGTGGGTTAAGGTGAATCTTCTTTCCATTAAACACGAAGGAGCAGGAATTGGATCGACCATGGATGGTTACATCTAGGTCAAATAACCAAGGTCGTCCCAAGATGATGTGCCCGACATCCATTGAAATGATGTCACACCATATATGGTCCTTATACTCGAGAAACTGGATAGGAACTAAACAACACTCCTTGACAGCTATAGAAGAGGTATCAACCCAAGAGACGCTGTAAGCCTGAGGGTGAGGAACAGACTTCAAAAATCCTTACCGAATCAATATTTTCTTCAACTTGAAAATTAACCAAGAAAAGCACTACAAAATTAAAGGGTATTGATGCCGCTTCTGTCTTGTAATTATTAATTACCAAAGCTCCACTATAGCAAATTACCGTGATATGATTGTTTGGAGACATTTTCTCATTTAACAGTTGAATAAGAGCCCACATACCGAAAATTCCTTTGTTGTTAATGGATGCCTTTGTTAAGGATAAATCCTAACCAATAATATACAAAGGCTTGGAATACATCTCTTAACAAGGTTCACATTTTAAGATGGAACTCCATATGTTATATGGTGTCAAAGTCCAAAAAAATCAAACGAGCAAATTGGTCCGTTTAAAGCTCAAACATGCACTTGTATTGCGAGATTGGTGTACTCAAATAAGCCACCAACTTGCACGAGGGTATTAAGAGATATATTCCACACTAGTTATAAATGATTATTTTAAAGATTTAGGCCACTTCTCTTAACATAATTGACTATTTAAGATAGAAGTCCAAGTCTTAATAGTCTTAGTTGGAAAATATATAAATGAAGCGTCTATTCAAAAATATTACTCGCAAAAAAGGGACAATCAACTACTAATTATCAAGCAACAATTTGCATGCCAGTCCACAAAACTCATTTCTCCAAATATCTTTGAAATTAACAATATAAGAAACTGAGATTCAGGGATGGGGAAAAATATCTTGAGCAAGCAAGAGCAAGAAACTTACATGAATGACAAGAACAGGACAGTTTATGGCCCTAATTTTGTCAATATTATGTAATTAAAATTAACATAGAAACCATGGAGAAACGATACTCGTCAATATGGAAAAATTGGGAACAAAATGACACATAACAATTAAGTGCAAAATTACCTTGTATATATCAAACCAGTATGTCCGTTTTACAGAGTACAACACCTTTAACCAGACAAAATGGGGCTAAAACAACACCCTTCACCCTATGGAGCTCCTAAAATTGCCATTTGGTTATTGGACCTGGAGTGGATTTGATTTGATGTGGTAAAGAAGACGAGGGAAACCTTACAAAATCTATCATTTTGATCTTTTTGTTCGATAGCTTCTCACATGCTTAGGTAGATCCCACTTTGAAACACAGCACGCCACATGTCTCGGTAAAATGAGTTGAGACGCTTTGAGACATGTTCAACACTGACATGTCTTGACAGTTGAGAGTTGTGTAATGAGTTGGGAATATTCGAAAAGGATAAAATGCCTACTCGAATTAGTTCTCACAATCTTTTAAAGCATGTTTGAAATAACTTCTCTACTCAGCCGCCTCCTAGGCATGGTATTGCTAGGCTCGACAAGACTCGTCTCTTTTTCGACTAGCTTGGCGACGTGTCCAATAAAAAATTCTTCGTACATTATTTCTAGGGAAAATTGCGGCATGGATCTATAACCTTTCATTTTTTTTCTTTTTGCAGACTTTACCCTAATCTTCACTTTGTGTCAACCACATTCCTAAACATTTCAAAAATATGTATCTGTGGTCCAAATGGATGGAACAGTTAGTTGACCTTTGTGCCAACCACATTCCCAAGCATTTCAAAAATATGCATTTATGGTCCAAATGGATGGAACAGTTAGTTGACCAGAAAAGTTAAAATTTAATCAATTTTGACCAAATTAAAAAGGGCAAAATAGTATATTCACATTTTTCCAAACATTAACAATTAGAACAGCAATTAAACAAAATTCTTGGATTCAAATCAGAAATTGGCTCGTTTGACTGAGGAATTGGTGCAATTGAAGCATGACCCCTAGTTATACCAACATCAATTTAGTGTCGAGTGTTGGAATTGACGATTTGAAGCTTTGTTGAATGGTCAATTGAAAGGGAATTGGCCGGAACTTCTTGTACATGGACTGTCAAGTCTGGTTCATCCACATTAATGCAAAATTAATGATGACCCTTGGTACCAGTATATGCCTTGATGAGGTGGACCTAGGACAGGTGGTCCGTGATCGTGGGTTGCACCGTTGGCACGGGAATTGACATTTGAAAGGTTCGAGTTCGCTGTTTGAAGAATTGACAATAGATTTGGATTTACATCATTGTTTGATGTTGCAAGGGTATCAGTAGATGCGTATTGAGGTGCTTGGTCGACTTGGCGGGTGGGCTTGGCATGGGTGTAGTCAGAGGTGAGGATTTCGACCACTTTTTGGTGCATGGGCAGCCTATTTTGGTAAGCCAAATCCGCTCGAGTTATGGCCGATGGTTGGGTGGTTTGTGAAGAGGGAAGTGTAGGCTTTTTGATGAAGGGATATCCAATGGTTTGGGCGGCAATTGTTCGGTGTTTGAGTGATTCAAAGTAGGTGGCTTCATGGGGGTAAGTAGGGCAGATTTCTTTTTCTTTTCTTTTTTGTTTGATTGTTAATATTTGGAAAAATGTAAATATATTTTGCCCTTTCTAATTTGGTCAAAATTGGTTAAATTTTGACTTTTTTTTGTCAACTAACAGTAACACTCATTTGGACCCTATGTGTATAGTTTTTAAAGGTTTGGAACTGTGGGTAGTACAAAATGAGGGTTAAGGTAAAGCCTATAAAAAAGTGAAAGGTTAGGAACGCTGTTACAATTTTCCCTTATTTCTAAGTTGGTGTCAAGAATCTCTTAATATGCCCATTTTTTGGCTAATCAAACCATCACATAGCCTAGCTACTTATTAATATCCAAGAAAATAAAATAAAATAGACAATTTTAGAGAGAGAGAGAGAGAGACGTACAATTCAACTATAGCCATCAAAAAATATAAATACGTAATATATACTTTACCCACATAATTACATACAATTAAAATTTTAATTTTTGGAATTTCACTATTCCCAAATAAAACTCAAACTCAGGTTACTGATTTGAGCTAGCTATTGATCTCATATTTTATATTTGATTGTACTGAATTTAAATGAATTATAAAATTTTTTTAGTTAACATGTCTAATTTTGAGAACTAAACATGAACTTATAACGAATGCAAAAAAGAAAGAAAATAATAAATAAATAAAAATAAAAATGCAAAGAATTTTCTTATCTTTAAGCCTTGAAAATGATGTAAGAGAAGGGCGTACATTCGTGGTTGTAGAGAGGTTTGGAATAGGCCAAATTGATGTTGAAGTTGCAATGCCTAAATTCAATGTATATGGACATAATATTAATTAACGAAGTTTTTTTTTCTTTACCTTGAAATAACGAAAATGAGTGAGAATTGACAAATCTTTGCCACTTTGTGTAGTTTTTCAAACAAATTAGAAGCTTCTAATGGACTTGTTTAATGGATTTATATAAATTTCTAAATTGCGGTGAAGAATATGCCTATGTTAAGCCAAATTAACGTAGACAAGAAGTATGACAATTATGAGAAATGATTTCCTAAGCATCGATGGTAGATATCATGTTTAGTCTAAGCTAACTTTCTCCGTCTAGATATGTTGACAATGACGAAGAAAAATATGGAGTTGGCATCCTAGGAGAAAATAAGAATGGCTTTGGTGGAACTTCTATCGATTCAAGACTTCCCTTCAACATTTCAATTACCTTTGTCATCGATGGACGGTCTGATGGAGTAGTTTGAATGCACCAAAAACCTACCAAAAACATCTTTTTTGCAGTTTCTTTGTCCTCGCTGCTCATGAATTCATCAAATTTCATTGTTTCACGAACTACTATGAGTTCATAAACTTGGTCGGTAAAATGATTTTCACTCGACTTGGTCGATCCGACTTCAACAATTTTCTTTGCTCCAGCCATTTCAAGAACCATCAT